GGGGTGATGTTACCTGCTCTGCACCTTTTCCTCATCTGTAAAATAGAGAACGATTTCTTCCAGTCTCAAAATGTTATTTTATTACTTACAAGTAGATTCCTTTAACATCAAATATTCCACAGTTTATTTCTTCTCAGGCTCTTCTCCTCTGTTCTGTTCCACTAGACAAACATTTACTGTTGTGTGGTGGTCACTGAGCGAAGCTCTGCATTTAGAAAACAAAGAAAGCACTGCTTCTCCCACTTCATAAACTCACAGACCAGCTGTGCAGACAGATATGTAAATGAGAAATTACCATACAATGTCATAAAATGCAGAGCTCTGGAAGCACAAAGGAGGCCCTCTGGGGGAGGGGCATCTAACTTTGCTTGGGCAAGTTGGGGAGGCCTCAAAGAGGAGAACACAGCTGAGTCTGGAGGGATGAACAGAACTTTCTGAGCAGAGAAGGAGGGGGATGACATTTCAGGCAAAGGAAACACCATGTGAAGGTAGAGGGAGGCAGTAACAGAGTCCCAACTTGGCAGAACAGCCCATACCTGAGGATACTTTGAATGTATGCATGTTGAAGACTTGGGTTTTGAATGCACAGGAAGTAACAGGAGAGAGGGCTGTAGGGGAGAGTGAGTCAGGTACTCAAGGCCCTCACACAGAGTGCCAAGAAGTCTTGACTTCACCCCTTGACAGTGGGGAACCATTGGCTTGTTTTAGGCAAGGGAGTGACCATCTGATTTCTCTTTCTCAGAAAAAGCACACTGGCCGTGGAGGGGAAGATACATTGGAAGGGTACGATGCAAGTTTGGAAGTGAGAAAGGTCTGAATAAGCCAAGGGAGTGGGGGGTGGAGGGAAGGTAATGTGTCCCCTTTAAACCTGTTACACCCAAAGAAGAGCCAAGTTAAAATGTCCAGCAGGATGCTGGAAATATGATTCTGATGCTCAGAAGAGCGATCTGGATTTAGGAGCATGAATAAGTAAGTGCTGATGGAAGGCACGAGAGAGAATGACAATACTTTGGGAGAGCCTGTAAGGTGAGGCATAAAGGGGCCGAACGCTGAGTCCTGGGAAATACCAGTGTTTGAAGTCAGGAGAAGAGATTGAGAGGATGGGTGAGATGCAGGAAGCCAAGGGGTGAAGGGAGGAAGGAGGATGGTGATGAGGAATCTACTCTTTTAGGAGGGTTGGATGAGAAGGAGGGGAGAGGGAGCACTGCAGCAAAGGGAGCCTGCAGAGTGGAGGGGCCTATTTTATGTTGTTCTGCCAGCTGGGCAAAGATGAGCCAGGAGGCCCAAGTTAGACACAGGAGAGACTGGGGGAAACAGATGGGCGCAGGAAAGGACGGTATCTAAGGCAAACCCGGAGGACGTATCCTTGGCAAGGGACGTGGGGCATTTGTTCTGCTGAGGAGGGAGGAAGGAAATCAGGAAGAGTTTGCTTTAGTGGTTCTCACATTAGAATCACTGAGATAACTTTTAAAAAGCACCAATAGTTGGGTGCACCTTGGAAATTTCTGGTTTAATGACTCTGGGATGGGTCCTGGGCATTGGTATGTTGTCAGAGCTTCGCAGGTGATTAAAATCTGCAGTCAAGGTTTGAGAACCCCTGGTTTCATTGTAGGTAACTCTTTAGACTGGTGATAACAGGATGGGGTTTGAGGAACCTCGCACTTGATAAAGGTTGGATGACAGGGGATGGTAAAGTTTGGGGACAGGTGAGGACTACAAAAAGAGAAGGAAGTTAGAAGGGAGCTGACACCAATTTAGTGACTTATGTGCCATTGATGTAGGAATGAATGAGGCTCTGTCCTTGTTCTCAAAGAGACCAGGAGCTTAGTGAAGAGAGAGACACCTCGCAACAACCCTATGATACACAGCGTTCTTAACCAGTTAAGCTGTTTTGCTATTTTGTTTCTTTTCTCACTAAAAATGAAAGAAAAAAAAAATCCAGCTGTTTCACAGTGTAGACTGGATCCGGAAATATTTTTGTAAGCATCGAGAGGTGCCTTTCTAGGAAAGTGGGTACTAGTGAAAGAGCTCTAATTATCCTGGGAGATAGAACTGTGCCCAGTTTTGGGGCGCCCGGGTGGCTCAGTCATTAAGCGTCTGCCTTCGGCTCAGGTCATGATCCTGGGGTCCTGGGATCGAGCCCCGTGTCGGGCTCCCTGCTCCACGGGAAGCCTGCTTCTCCCTCTCCCCTTGCTTGTGTTCCCTCTCTCGCTGTGTCTCTCTCTGTCAAATAAATAAAATCTTAAAAAAAAAAAAAAAAGAACTGTGCCCAGTTTTATCAGCAGGGCTCTAGGAAGATGGTGGTTGTGGCCGGGATGTGCGCGTGGCTGGGGTCACCTGTACCTGGGAGTTGGCTGAAATTGCTGATCACTCAACATTGAAAGACTCTGATGGCCATCTTGCTAGCTTCCGTGGTTAAGCAAAGTCCTAAGGATACCCCTTTCTAAACAGCAGTGCTGGGAAAGGGCTCTACTTTTCACCAGAGTGGAAGACCTAACATTTGCCACTGTGGTCTGGGCCTGACTTCTGGGAACAGCCTCATCTGCACCGGAAGCAGGCCCTCCTCTCAGCTGGGATTTTCCTTTAGAGAGTGTCCATCGCCACTTCACGAGCCTTTTGCATCCTCCCTGGAGGTGAAACCTCCACGGCTCCTGAGAGGCCTCTGGTCAGCCTGTTCTATCCCTACTGCCTGAGGCCTGTGAGGTTCTAGAAAGCACTAGGAATCTTGTAAGGTACCTAACAAAGAGGGCAAGTTTGATTGAGAATTGACTGGGGCATGATGTGTATATGGAAAGGGTTCCTTCGGTTACCTTATTAGTCCCATTTTATATAAACAGGAATTGAGCCCGGAAGAAATGAAGAAACTTGCCCATGTCCTCAAAGCTAGGAGCTGTGTTTTCGAAATTAATAAATAATAATAAATATAATAATCTGTTCCACTCTATTGTCCTTCAGGGTCCTGACTCCCTCTGTCACTGTGGGTTGAGGCCCTTGGGAAAATCCCAGTTGGATGTCACCTCAGTGTCCTCTTCCCTCCTAGAGTTAGCCTAGGTCCCTTGGGCCCTAGGATACACGGACCTCCTCTTTGGATCTCCATTTCTTCACTCTGTGAATCCAGATGGGTTTCCATTCTAGCGGTGAGCGTGGAAGGTAGCCCAGAGAATTGCTGCATGGGACACATCACACCAGTTAGAATGAATGTTGGACCTCGCCTCTGTAATCCAGTGCTTTTGTTGCAGAGGTAGAATTGAAAGCCTCCTATCCCACCCTCGGAGAGGAGAAAGGAGAGCTTGAGTTTATTCCAGCTCGATGCCCGGTATCTGTTAATCCTGAAGCTTTATCTGTTGACATCCTGACTTAGGTTTTGGCTTTAGGTGGGGCCAGTCTACAGAACTGCTATTCCAGATATCTATAATTCTCATTCTTTCGGCCTTTCTGAGTCTTGTGAAACAGGCTAGCATCATGTGAACATACTTCATGCTGAAGCTGGTGCCCCAACAGTGGGTCAAATTAGACCCTCGCTGCCTGGCACAGGGTGGGGTGTGCTCGGGGCAGGGCTGGGAACACCTAAGCCTGCTCTGCCTCCCTTTCCCTTTCCCAGCTCTTCTGCCACGTGTCCTTCATATACCGCCAGGATCACGGGTGCAGCCTGGTGCCGGGCACGTCACAGGCACCAAGCACCTGGACTCAGTACGCAGGGACTTCGGTCCTGGAAATAATGATTCTGCATATCGCATGCAGTCTTGGTAGTGAGTCACTTGCTCACTCGTGGTGTGTGATGGGGGCGGGGGGTGGTGAGGAGAGGCAAGGGCTAAGGAGAAGGGAAGTGTTTCCTAAGGTTTTCCATCTTTGAGTGCTAACCATGCAGAAGAAGGTGGCTCTGTCCTCGTGGTTGGTTAGGTTAGAACGGACAACTGTGAAGGATAAGCTTCAGTCTCAGAGAAAAAATTTCATTAGGGAGGAGCAGAAATCCCAAACAAGCTGAGAACCCCTTTCCCTTGGGACTTCTTAATCACAGGGTTGGGTTAGAAGGTATCAGGACTGAAAGCCCAAAGATGTTGAGATGGTGAGAGGACCTGCAAGGGATAAGTATGCGAAGGTGCTTTTGAAGTATTACTATTCCAAGGTAAGTGCAGGGTTGAGCAGCAATAATAAGATAATATAATACTTTAAGCTTTTGCTCACTCCAAAGGGCATAGGGACTTCCCACAACCCAGGCTTTTATGATGGGGGAGACTCTTGGGGGGCTCAGAGCTATTGCCCCACTTCAGGAAGCCCAGCTGGTTCCTTGGAATGCTCCAAGGCAGAAATGCCCCAATTGTGTGGGATGTTTTGGGATACCTACATCCCCTGTCTAGTACCCCCAACTCCAAGGTATCTGAAGCCCCTGGCGCCAAGAGCCTGCGTGATTGGGGTTAAGGACCTGATAGGCCTTTGGAGGTTTCCTGGGAGAAGCGCCCCTCTCCCCTACATCCAAGTTCCCTGCCCCTGCGCCTCCCCCTCTCTCGCTCCCCCAGGGCAGGGCTCCCTTTGTAATTAATCCCAACGCTGAAACCAGAGGGGAGGAAAAAAGTGTTAATGAGGGAGCGTCCCATACTGACTGGGCGGTCACCGCTCGCAGCTAGAACACCGAGTAATTAAATTATTTTTGGAAGCAGGGGGAGGGGGATGCGGTGGTGCGGGTGTCAGGGAAATCCCCGTATGCACGGGAAGCGGGGAGCGTCTCCTGCCACTAATTAAAATCAGAAACGACTCTCCCTTCTCGCAGCCCTGGGGGGTGGGGGAGGAAATCAATCTTTCCACGTCCCAGATTGGACTCTGTGTAGCCGGCTGTGTGGCCCGCGAGAACGCACACCTCCATCCCCGGGGTCCGGGGGCTCCGTCTCTCACCGGCGGCTCGGGAAAAGGCGCCCCAGGAGGGAGGGGCTGCGGGCTGGGCCCTGGCCGGGGATCGAGGCCTCCCCGGTCACCGCTCGGGGCGGGGGTCGCCGGGCCGCGGCCTTCTCCCAGGCTCGGGAGGGCCCCGCGCGTCTGGGGAGGTCCGCCGGCCGGGGAGCGGCGGCTCCGGGAAGAGCCGGGCCGCAGACAATGGGCGCGGCGGCGGGAGGGGCGCGGCGGCGGGAACAGCCGGGAGGCGGCGCCCGCGAGCGCGCGCCCCCCGCCCCCCCCCGGCCCCCCGCCCCTCGCCCGCTCCCCTGTCCGTCCCCTGCCCGCTCCGCCGCCGGCTCCGGTGCGATTCCCGGGCCCCGGTTCCGTGCTCCTGGGCCCCGCCATGGGAGCCTGAGCGCCCCCATCCCCCGGCCCCTGCCCCCGGGGCCCCGAGGGGGGGACAGGCAGCGGTCTGGGACGCAGAGGGGGTGGCCGGCCCCGGAGCCCCCTCCGCGCCGCCCTCGCCCGCGCTGACCGTCCGCCAGCGCCGAGTGCGCCGCGACCCGGAGCGCTGCGGATACAAAGGCGCCGGGCCGAGCCCACCGGCACTTCGGGGCGGCGGTGAGTGCCGGGCCGCGGGGGCGCGGGCAAAGTTTGCCCGAAAAAGAAAGGAGGACGAGAAACAGGAAAGGAGGACAATCGTGCGGGGGCCAGGGGGTGCCCGGGATGGCTGCTGGGGGAAGGGGGGCTCGGGGCACCCCCCTTCCGGTCCGTTTTCCCACTGCACGGCGGAGTGCCCCCCAACTTTGCGGAGGGCCGGGGGGCTCCTGGGGAGGGGGCGGAGCCCGGGCCTTGAGAGCCAGGGACTTTCCTGGGCCCGGGGCCCCGGCGGGGGCCTTAATGATCCCGGGGGAGCCGGTTGAAGCCGGAGACCGGGAGTGTGTGTTGGGGGGGGTGGAGAGGCAGTGCAAGGATCGGAGTCTGGAGGTATTGGAAGCGGGGAGGTGTTTAGGGGTGCAGACACACCTTCAGGAGTGTGGGGAGGGACGGGGCAGGTATGCATTCCGGGTGTAGTGGGGAGTCTGGGGACCGATCGAGGAGAGTAGAGGGGGTGTGTGTGCTGCTCGAGGACGGGGCTGGCGGGCCGGGGACCCGGGCACTGTGTATGGGGGCCCAGGGACAGGCGCCGGCATCCCTCTCCCCACTCACATTTACCCATCTGGGGGGCTGGGGGCTCTGCATTAGTGAGTTCTAAAGCATCGGTGGAGGCTCAGTGTGTGTGATTCTTTGTTTTTGTGTGTGTGTGTGTATGTGTGTGCGCGCGCGCGCGCCGTGATGTGCTGCGTGTTCCTGCAGGTGGGCCCCTGGGTTTGGAGGTGTAGGGGTTTTTCTGTGGAGGTGTGTGCACCCCGGGAGCAGCTGACCGTGTATCTGCTGTGTGCTTGGATGTGCATTTACGTGTATACCCGGGGGAAGGGGTGTGTGTCTGTGTGTGTGAACTGCGGAGGGGTTTCTGGGAAAGAAGGGTGTAGGTACTGAGGAAGGCGGGTGTGCAAGAACAGAATGGGGCATACCTGGATAGGTGTGCGTGCACCTGTGTGGTGGAAAGGGGGTGAGCAAATCTGTTCTCTTGTGTGCAACCAGCGTTGATGGGTACGTCCCAGTGGGTGCACTGCGTTAGGTGGTGTGTGTGTTTCTGAGTGTGTGTTGGGGGTACTATTTCTTGTACCTACAGGCAGATTTTCCTGGTAGAAAGCCTGAAGGACAGCTGTCTGGATGATCCTGCAGCTTCTTGGATGTGCTCTCTCAGGGCGCAAGGGGAGTGCTTTAAGTATCTGAGACCTACAAGTGGCAGTGAGTGGGCCATCTTAAGAGATGCCTGTTTGGGAGGTGGGTTTTTCTAGAAAAGGGTGTGTGCTTTGGGCAATAGAGAACAGGGGTTCTGGCTGTAGTCCTAGAGGAATCGGAGGCCCTGGAGGAGTCAGGGAGAGAAAGAAGAGGGCCCTCCCCCACCATCATAGGTTGGGTTCCAGTGCATGGAGAGGCCACATTCTTGGCTTTCCGGCCCAGGCTCAGCCCCCTCAGGCCACAGTTGTCTTGGAAAGCGCCTTGGAGTCTTTGACTGAAAAGCCCACGAACCCTGCCCTTCCTCCAGGACCCTACAGTTCCTGAGGAGTTGGGATTTTGGTATGGGGTGGAGGCCAGAGGAGGCAGCCTGCTGGAGGGATGAACAATGGGGTGTGGTGCAACGAACGGGGTCTGTCCATGGGGTTGAGAAGGTGGCATGGGAGCTCTGGGGAGGTTGGTGGGGTGGGGTGTGGGGGGTTCCTCAAGAGTTTCTGCAGGTGTGTCTGTGCGGGTTCCTTAGTTTCCCTTTTCCCTGGTGAGGAGCATGGCTGGGGCGGAGCTGTGGTCTGGGGCGGGTCTGAGGGTGAGGAACAGGAGCTGAGCCAGTGAGGGGGCAAATGAGTGTCCATGTGTTGGGGGGAGCGTGGGCACCCCTTGAAGGCCGTTCTCACCATCCTGATAATGTGGCGGGAGGTCACCACTGTCGGGGAAGTGGGTGTATCTCTCCCCACAGAAGTGGTGGTTACCCCCTTTGCCTCTCCTCTCTCTTGTCCTTTCTCTTCTGGGGTGAAGGGAAGGGGCTGACCTTCTTGTTTAGGATGCACACTTTATTCTCCGTCGCCCTCTCAGATGCTTTCCTGTTGCCGCCAGGGGTTAGGGTGAGCTGCCCAGGTTTAGGGGCTGAGATTGTGACCGCACAAGTTTATCAGGGTCGCTGAGGAACTGGAATTGGAATGTCTGAGTCCCTAAAGAGCATGTGCAATTGGAATGTTCCCTCTTCAGTCTCCAGGGCTTCCTGGCTTTCCTAAGACTGGGGGATAAGGGTAGTGGGAGTTAGAACATGTTGGGACTAGGGCTGGGGGCAGAGCAGGAAGGACCAGATGCATGATTCCCCCAAGCCAGACACTGTCTGATGGGTAGGGCTCCTGTGGCGAGCGAGGCTCTTGAATCGAGGATGGGGTGCTCTGGCTCTCGTGCAGGCCTGCTACACCGTGCTGGTGGGGGTGTTCTTCCAAGGAGGATGTGTTGTGCTCAGAGGATGGGAGGTGCCATCTCTGGAAGTACTTCTAGTCTGGAACCAGTGGACACATTGGCTCCTCCTGCTCCATTGTCTTGCTTCTGCCTGGTCATTCCTCTGATTCCTCCAAGACGGGCCTCTCCGGTGTGGCTCTCGGCTCCTTCTGCTCCTTCAGAGTTTGAGGAAGGGCCCCCTTTCCTGGCCCTAGAGCAGGACAGACTTTATCTGTTTGTCTGGTTTCCAAGAGGCCCTTCCGGTTGAGGGGGGCGTGTACTTGGCTAACAGAAACTTTGGGGGGGAAGAGGGATGAGCTCTGGGACTCTTCTCCTCACCTCTGAGTTTTAGGGACTCCTGTCTGCTCTTTTGCACATTCTGCCCTTGACAGCTCCCCACACCCTGACAGCATTGGCTGGAATTAGTACTTCGCAGTGGCGTGACGTGGGGCAAGTTCTTAAACCCCGTTCTTTAGCCTCTTGGATGTCTTACGACACCATCCTCCAACCCCGATGGGGCGTTCCTCCAGGAACGCCAGGTCCCCCCAGTGGCCTCCTTGCCTGGGTTTCGGCTTGCTCCTACCTTCTCTTTTTGCCACTTCCTAGTTCCGAGACCTGAGACAGAAGAGAGAACTTTTTGAAGTCTCACCTGTAAAACGGAGTTAATAGTTCGCCCTACCGCTTCGGTTTATGAGGGTTAAGTGCAGGAACAGAGCGTGAGCCCTTCACCCGGCGCCTGGCACGCGGGCAGCGCTTGGTCCCCGTGAGCCGAGTGCTTCGGCTTCTCCCCGGTGCCGTGATGGGAGGCAGCTCTGGGTTGGGGAGCGGAGCTTGGTGTTGGTTCTGCTCTCCTGGTGGACCACGCTGGGCACTGCCTGCTGTCTGCCCGGGGCCGTGTGAAGCACCGGGGCGAGAGGGGCGGGTGAGACGGGCTTTCACAGGGAGACGTGCAGAAACACGTCGATTTCACTGTAGCCCAGTGAGTGCTGTATGGAGGTGTGTTCAGGAGGCCACCCGAGCCCGGAGCCGGAGTGCTTGGCCCTGGGGGGGGTGTCAGGGAAGGCACAGGGAGGAGATGTGCCCTTCGCTGGCTGAGTTTTCTTAAACAGAGGTGAAATTCACATAATATAAAATTAACCATTTAAAAAAAAGCTTTTACTTATTTGCTAGAGAAAGCGAGAGCGCACAAGCAGGGGGAGAAGCAGAGGGAGAGGGAGAAGCAGCTCCCCGCTGAGCAGGGAGCCGGATGCGGGGCTCGGTCCCAGGACCCCGGGATCATGACCTGAGCCGAAGGCAGATGCTTCACCGACTGAGCCCCCCAGGTGCCCCTGGAATTAACCACTTTAAAGTGTGAGTTGGCATTTAGTAGTTGGCAGCGTTGTGCAGCCATGGCCTCTGAAAGCCTTTTCCCGACCCCGAAAGGAAACCCGTACCTACAAAGCAGCGCTCCCCATCCCCTGCCCCTTCCTCTGGCGACCACCGGTCTTCATTCTGTCTCTGTGGATCTGGGTGTTTCATAGAAATGAAATTATACAACGCGTGACCTCTCCTGTCTGTCTGCCTTCCCAGAGCACCATCTCTTCAAGGTTCCTTCCCATGGGAGCAGGCATCAGAACCGCATTCCTTTTCAGGGCTGAATCGTATTCCACTGTGTGGCTGGACCTTAGTGGGATGTAAAGGATGAGCTAGGCAGACAGGGAGGGGCCTGCAGAAGGTTTGCAGGTACAGGCCGAGCATGCCAGAAGGATCGAGGGTGTTGGTGAGCTGCGTGCAGCGTGGTACTGTTGGATCTCAGGATAAGGTGGGGGATCTGGCCTCAGTTTCCCTGCCAGTAAAAGGAAGTCCCATGAGGTTGGTGGGTAATAGGGAGACGCTGGGGTCCTATTGCCTCTTCTCAGGGTCTGGGTGGAGGATGGGACTTTAACTTGCCCTTTCCTCGTCTTTCTCGGGTGGTTCTCTCTTGTATTTGTCTACCCCCGTCCCTGCTGGTACCTGTCTTTCAATATCCCCTGTCTCTGAATTGACGTGACATTTCTTCTCTCACTCTCTCCAGGTTGGTAGCCTTGTTCAAGGGGAGGTTTTAGTAGCAGAGGTGAGGGAAAAGCCTGGGCGTGAATCCTACTCAAACCTCCTCCCTCCCTCCCCCCGCCCAGCCCCCCCGCAGCCTTCCCTTCTCTAGGCTGCCTCCTGGTGATCTGACCTGGGCAGCTGTCCTGTGATCTGGAGAGAAATGAGGTGGGTCAGGGAGAATCTTTCCATCCCTTCCTCCACACTGCTTGGTACGGAGAAGGAGGCAGAGGCCTTGTCTGGTGGGGCCCTTTGGAAATGAGGTGTTGCTGTGCTTGTCTGGTGCCCCTGGCAAGGCTGGTAATTACATGACAGCTGGGAACGGGTTTGGGAGAAGCAGGCTTGGAATCAGCAGAGCCAAGGACCTCCTGGTAGTCAGGGTGGGGCGGTGAGGGCAGAGGGAAAAGCTGGGGGCAGGGGTGGGACGGCAGACTTGGGGTCCCCTTCCCCAGCCACTGCACACACAGCTGGGCTTA